TTGCGTTGCGATAGTAATTTCCGAACAGTTTTTTGCGGGGCCTTATTTTCGGCCTGATTTTGCTGCTATCTGACGGAAAAAGTTTGCGACTCAATATTTTTGGTTTAAAGCGAAAATTGAAACAAAAGAAATTCATTTTTAAATAGTATTCGGTAACCTCTACTTGGGAGATAAAAATCGGCCGATTTTATTTTTTAGCTGGAAATCATCGGTCGTTTCTTAGGTGCAGGGCCTCTTAAAAATGCACATAATTGTAGATTTTGTATAAATCCTTGGGAGTGTCTACTAAAACAATTAGACCATGTGCATCTCTTTCAAAGAGAGTCCTGATCAATTTTGACCCATTTTAGGGATTTACCTGCATCAAGAAGTTTAATGATGGCTTCAGAGTTATCAATATCCAGTGATAAACTGTCAGCCTTGCCTGACTTCAGCAAGTTTACAAAGACAGAAAGACGACGTTTCAGTGATTTCTTGTATTCTTTCTGGCGCAGTGCTGCCTCCTTAGGATGGTACTTTGTCCGAAACCTTCAATATAAACAAAGACACCTCAATTAGCACAGGGTAAAAATGCCAAAGGTAGGAAAAATACAAATGGTGTGATTACCCTCTATGACTTACTCAGCCTTTCCTGTGCTGCCTTGAATCCCTTGTGATATTTTTACGTTTAACTTCCAATACATCAATTGCTATTTTTATAGCAGTTGCAGAAACAACTGAGGTCAGATCACACAAAAATGAACCTCATCCAAATCGTGGAAATTAACTGTTGTTGCTTGATCATTGAAAGTTGCTGAGAATCTAACGATACCTACTGCTGTCTGCAGTACTTGGATTTCATATACAAAAAGTTCTAGGCTTTCAGCCTCATGCAACAGAAACCGATTACAATATGGTGTGTATAGCTCCCAATATGGCTTTGTTTGACATGCATGTCTCACTGAACAACAATACAGCTTGCTGTGAAAGGAAAGGGCCAATGAAGTTAGAAAAACAAAACATGTATCCACGAAGTAATCAGTATTGTTAGTTTAAAATACTTATTAGAATGCATGTACAAAACAGTCACATGCAGTATATGAACATTTACCAGGGAATTATCACGAAACAAAACTAACAAAATGAGTGATTCTAGGGTATTAGCTTAAAAGGATGGATATCATCTTGCTAGTCATTGTATTTCCTACATATTTATTTTTGAATATTGTCATTGGTACAATTATCATTATTATCACTGGTTTCTTCAAAGTGTTCATAGCTAGAGGTGACTGATCTCAAAAGTTCTACAATGTAGAAAGTGTTTGAAGTATATATCTCAGTATTCAAGATTTCATGTATGGTGTATTTAAGCGTGTACAGTACTGGTTAAAGGGATTGCAGCATTACACGCACGTAAAGTGTGTGTACTTCACGCACATTACACGCAGTGTCCACGCACCTTACACACAAATACACGAAAATGCGTGTAATTACATGCGTGTAATTACACGCAGTAGACGTGATATTGCGTGTAAAATTACTCGCAGTCTTTCAACTGGAACTCATTAAGTGCGTGTAATGAGAACAAAATACTAAAAGTGTGTGTAATGAAAACAAAACATTTACAGTGTAACATTCACCGTACTGGACTGCACTGTGATACAGTTTAGTCTTTCGCCTTCTTGCTTCTGGTCATCGAATTGACCAGTTTCCTTAAACTGGCGTACCACTTTACAATAAATTTTAAGTATTTTTTCCATTATAGTTTCAACAAGCGGGCGCCAGCAACTGGCAAGCATGCTAGGATTCACTGAGATAACAGAACATAAACATATAACGTTGCTTTCAATTTTAAATTACAGCAATCAGTGTACTTTAAATCAACCCAAAGATTCATTAAAAATATTTCGTACTCTAAAGCGTTCAGAGTTTACTGGTGTTCAAAGGCTTTTCCGGTCACGTTTTTCCGTTCATGAGAAACAAGGGCACCAGTGACTGACAAACTGTGGCTGGACAGACACGAAATACTAACAACAAAACACAATATTTCACTTGAGATTTTCAGTTAATTTTTGAGTTATTTTTTTGTAAAAAAATACCTCTTAGTCGGCACATCGGGTATGTTATGGACGGGTCAATGGCTGAGCGAGCGAGCGAGTGAGTGAGTGAGTGAGTGAGTGAGTGAGTGAGTGAGTGAGTGAGTGAGNTCAACATTTTCTGTGGGTTAGGCTGATGATTTTAGCTATGAACGAGATGAGCCTTGAGGTTTGAAACAGTTCGTGAGTTAGTAGTATGCAAATGGCACGAGATATTTTTATTTTTAGTTATGAAGGCAACTTGATACTTTTGTTTTCCACAAGGAGTAAATTCAATTAGAGGTCACGAATTGTCGCTTCTAGTTCTTAGGACATGTTTTTAGAGGAGACGAGACTATTTAGATTTGAAAGAGTTCTAACGTTTACAATAGTAAGTACATGTAACGATTGTTTTGTTCTTGTTGCATGCAAATATAATGAGATATTTTTATTTTTTTAGTTACAAGGGGTAATTTGACACTCTTGTTTTTCACAAGGGAGTAAATTCAATTAGAACTGACGAATCATCACCACTCTTTCCCACGAGATGTTTGCTATCTTTAGTTACAAGTGGTAACTTAAGAATGAGTTTACCAGAGGACCAGGCAGGGGTGATACATGCCATCTCTCCTTTTTGGATGAAACTTTGCCAGATTGAAGGTACTACCCAACAACTCTAAAAGACAAAGTGGGCCAGCTTTGTGATTTTTCCCTTAGGAGTTAGACCACCCCCCCTGGTTTTTTGCCCAAAATCCCAAAAATGTCA